GGGCTCCCTGCCACAGCTGGGGAAAAGAGCAGGGCAAGCACCCCTGGGGAGCACTGGCAGTATTCAAGGCGTAACATAAGATTTTTTTATGTATGTTAGCCTAAGTTAACTGACTCACTTCTACTAAGCCCCAATTCTTCCTTAAAAAAAGTAGTTTTGCAAACACGTTCCACCATTTTAGCTTCCCCTCCCTTTTTTTCTTTTTTAAACCCACACTTTTAGCGCGTTAATTTATGCTGCAGCACTAAACCTGTACAAAAAGCTTTAAGGACACTTACTTAAATTACTCCTCCATTAAGTCAATTAAAATACTGCAATTTAGCCTAAACCAACAGGGAACTCCGCAGAAGAATCTAAACTAAAGCAGCACAATTAGCCTGCGAGCACTAGACTGTGGTGGCAAGGCAGGTGCCGTACCTACCCCGTCATTCTGTACCTGTGAGAACAAAAGCGCTAGCAAAAACCTTCACCTTTTCCCCATCCAAAGCAACGTGACCTTCAGAGGTCATTTAACCATACAGATGTGACTTATCCTTCATCAGAAAAACACATAGAAAAGCTTCATCATAGGAAAACTGTAGTGACAGCAAGGTCCCTTCAGACACTGTCCACTGAATTTCCCATCTGCAGTCAAAACAAAGCAGATTTGTTTTTTAAAACCAAGCATACATTAAGTTCTTCACTGTTAAAAGTTTCTAAAAATTGCATCCTGTTTGGCTGATGAATGGTAACAACATAACCAAGTGCAGTCAGACCTTTCTCCTTTACTTTCCTCCCCAAATGTTAAGTGTAACTAGAATCATGAAACAATCTATGCTAAAATTTCCATGTGTAACCAAATTGTGCAAGTTTTCTGTCACATTTTAGATGAATACTAATATATACTTCAATCAGTTCTTCTTGAAAATAAGCACATCATCAAATGAATCTCATTTTTCACCACATCTGAGGAAAATTCTGTTGCATAATTACACACTTTCACCTGTATTAAAAAAAAAAACAACAGACTTTCCATCTATGCGGAGAAATAAAATTTATTTAAATAACTTCTGATCTGGGTCTTCTTGTACAAAAATAAATTCTTCAAGAGGGGTTTGATGATTTGTTGGCCAACAGCTTCTCTCACATGTGTAAACTATAACAGTTCCAAATTCCACTGACAGATCTAAAAACAGAGCAATAAAGGTATGAAAAATTACATAATCGGGGCTATTGCTTATTGCTATACTTCAGTCTTTCCCAATTCATGAAGTATTTTTCATATTCAGTCTCTTACATACACAGCATTTTCTAATTTCAAAGATTTTAAAGCAAGCTGACTCAGAATTTTCAAAGAGCTTCTTAAGTGTCTGCAATCTTATCTGACAATATTTACTATTTTCCAAGGCCTTAAGAGGCAATAAAGACAAATTACTTCCAAGGTCATGGAATTATCTATATTGCTGTTATTAAAGTTCACTAATGAGCAAATGAAGTTGCAATCATAGTCTGTTACATCTTTCGCTTAGTGAAATCTGTAACGGAAACAGAGTGGATTCTACATAAGATGATCACTGTGGTTAAGCACATCAGTGTGTGTGGTTAGCAAGAAGCAATCCAAATTGCAGTTCACTAAACTTTACCAAGAAGGTGAATGTTTCTAGTATTCATTCAGTTAAGTCAGAGGTCAACACCTGAATCACTCTGGAGCATGCTGACCAGCGCTGGCATAAGTTGGAATTCAAATATTCTGCTGCTTCCACAGTTACCGCAGGCTGGAATACCTTTGTTAATGTTGGCTGGAGGACACGTTATGAATAAAGGTTGGCCACCCCAAGAGTATCTAACAGAAGAAAGGAAAAAAAGTAATTTATTTTTTTAAAATCTAAATTTCATATGAAAACTTACATGTTGGCAACAGTGTTCAGGGTTCTCTGAAACCTCTGAACTTGCTTGAAGTAAAAAACATTGCTACGAGCCAGAATCCTTGCCTAAGCCTCAGATGCATCATTAAACAAAGAATAAAGATGGGAAGGGGGAAATACTTGGAAGGTCAATACTTAGAAAGACTTAAGGAAAGAGCTGGACTTAAAGGAGACAAATCGTTTGTACTGACACCTTCAAACTATGCTGTACCTGACTCGTTTAATTAAACAAACTACACTTTCCTGAAAAATGAAATCCTAACCAGTGGCAGTTAAAGATCTCGAACATAGAATAGGTCTCAAAACCTATTGAGTTATGCCACAGAAGTAATGTTTTATTTATAAGAGCTATTATAGCTCCACAACCAAGACTGAAGATGGTTTCCACTGAATGCCAAGCAGAGGATTCTGTGCTGTGCTGAAAGCTCAACAGAGATCTGGCAGGCCAGGAGAAATGTGGGTCTGTCAGGTAGACTCGCAATACCCATGAAGGGGAAAGGGAGTACTATGTAAAGATTGTAACTAGTGATAGTCATAGGGATCACCAGAGGTGGTGTTTTAGAAGAATGGACAATTCCAAGAGCACAGTAGCACAAAGTGATAGATCTAGTGAAAAAAAGTTGCCTGAAAATATTGCTTGCACTCTGAATGAGTACATTTTCTGTATCATCTTTGACAGATAATTACTGGAAGTTTCTAATCTGTGTAACTAGCCCCTCAGCCTTTACCTCCTCATCAAAAAGGTACCAGTTAGTTCCACCTGGGTCTCGAAACTCGATAAACAAAGGTCCTGTCACTACACTGAGACAGCTTGACCAGATAGGCTGCTTTGGATTTTCTGGAACAAAGAAGTTAAAAACTAACACTTAGTACGATCCATGAAAACTATCTGTATCATCTGGTACTATGAATAATTTATGATTTTAACTCTTTGTTATACTTTCACAAAAGAGGAGTTAATTCTGAATGAAAGTAGCTGCTCTGAGGTGAAATCTGCTTTTGTTTTAGGAAAAGCAACAGATTTACAAGAACTGAAGACTGCAGGGTCCCGAGGGTAATCACAAGAAGCTGCACAAGAACTCAGGCTTTAAAATGACTAATTTCTTACATCAGTAACATCTCAAGGACTGAGACATTACAATAAGGTTACAAAATTTCAGAGGAGTAGATAGCCTTGGTAAACTATCACAACAGCATACAACTGCGTATTATACTTCCACCTCAAAACTGTCTCTTGAAAACCTCTCTGCCTGAATTTCATCAAATCTTCACAGACAGTCTGGGTCTGCTCTCATCAAGTCTTACATTGAAGAAAGTCTCCCATAGCCAGATCTGGGGGCTCTGATACTGCTTTGCTTCTCATCTACTTATACTTTGCATAAGAAAACCCAACCAGGGACTTAAGTCTGATCACACAGGCATGGTAACAGCCCTCTTAGCAACGGGTTTTTTATTGAGAAACAAAATTATGCATCTATTTCCAATGAAATGGTTTACTTTGATGTACTAACAATCCATGTCTATGCTCTGTATCTCCCTGTTACAACCAGATGATCAACATACCTTAGAATCTGTTCATGACACACAGATATTCTTTTCATAAATTTATGGAATGTGTGGTCCCTGCTTTTGACTTCACTCTTCTCATATTTTTCATTATCACCTTCACCTGCGAAACTATAAGAAAACAAAAAAAGAAACAAAATTCTCAATTAGGTTTTCAGTATGATATGCATACTTTAAATAAGGAATGGTTACTATACATTCACGTTAAATTATACTAAGCACGCTGAAAAAACTATACACGTTAAATTAAGGGGCAATTCCTGCTAGAGGTTGCAATTGACCATTTCGCTTCTAGTTCTTTTGTTTCTGGTGGTTTACAATTACTAACAGTGTTTCAAAGTACCACATGAGATTCAAATCCATCAGATACTTGCTTATTCCTTAAAAAAAAAATCATCCCTTTAGTAACTTCTCTGAAGTTGTTAAATTATGATGTTATCTTTTTAAATTTTGAATTAAGTGTAACTAAATTCTATGATTCTATAAAGGTCAACCAAACTCAACACCACTACTAAAAAAGCATTCTATGCAGATTCTGCAATTGACAGTAGCTTTAGTTATCAAAAAATTCAATGCTGTCCACAATTCGGGAAAACGGTCTGGATATAAGTGCCCACTGTGATCATCTAAGTTAATACTGAAAACATTTTCAGTAACTATGTTCAAAAATTGTTTTTCAGACAACCTTTACAAAAATCTTCAGGAGTCCTACCATCATCCCAGTCTCTAGTCAAAATCCCTAAGTAATTACTCTCTTAAAAATGCAACTGGAATATAAGAAAAGCTTTAGCCTCGTAAAGAAAAAAAAAAGTCACAATATAAACTCATGCCATTTAGCATAAGATATTGTTTAAACCACACTAGTTTAGTTTCAGAGATTGACAGTTCACTGCTCTACCTGGAGCCCAAGGACATTTCAACATCTCTGTCATTCAGAAACAGATGCATCTCTGAATAACTCAGAATTTGACAGAACTGGGTGCATTGTTAAGCTCTTCCAGCAAAGTACTACACACCAATGATTCCTGAAGGGCCCAGTTACAAACAAAAAACATTCAGATTTAGTGAGAGTCAGATTTATATTATCGGTCAGCATACAGGAAACTCTTTAATTCCTTCAGTTGCAGCTCTAAATCCAGACTTGTTCTCACCTTTCTGACATCAACTGTTCCAAATCAACACCCTCCCTCTGCTGATATTCCTTCAATAGCTTATTTGCATGATCTGTATCAAGGAAACCAATGTAGTCTTCCTCATCCACAACACTAATGTAAAAGGGCTGGAACACAGGAGCTGAACTAGACGTTGCCGTTACCACTCCCTCACTGACCGGAGGATGTGTATTTGGGGAACCTGACTCATTTGTAGCTTCAGACAAGTGAAGCTGCTGGAACTGGAATGCACACTCCATCTCTCTGGACAAGGAACTGCTCACTGCTTCATTTAAGCCAAGCAGCTGAAGGGAGGCACATGCAGGAGATTCTGCTCCATCACAGACTCCCCAGTCATCTGCTTCATCACACCAATCCTTTGCAGCAAAGTTTGACTCTTGTTTCTGAGAAGAAAAAAAAAAAAGAAAGAAAAAAAGGAAAAAGAACATTGTCAAGATCAGCCACCCTAATGCACTTCAAATACAGTTTCATAACAGATAAGAAAACTAAAACCTTAACCTAATGCTCATTTTGACTATTTTCCTCACAGTGGTAGTTACCAGCATACCCACGTTTACTATTCACAGCAGCACAGTTATGGCCAAAAAAAACCCCTCATTGGTGAAATGGAACAAGAATCCATTGGCTTTTTGAACGGCCTTTGTACATCCTGTTGCCATACCTTGGCTGCTGGCATGACCACTGACAGCTAGTTTGGGTACGTTTACCTGAAGCACAGTTACAGCACCACAGGTAAGCTCAAAGGGCAGAATATGGAGAAAAACAACAATAACAACAATACTGCCATCATTTTATCAGAGTATGAGATCATTTACCACAGACCAAAATTTCATATTGCAAATGCACCAGCTGAATAAACACTTTCTGCATGTCATCACTAGTTTGTAGCCATCCTCTTCTTGCAATCTTTTTAAGCCAACATGCAGGTTTGCTTCACAAGCAAAAATACCAGAAGTACACTAACAATAATTAAGTCAGATTAAATAAAAACAAGTATAAAAATAAGTTTTAAAAAAACCCTATTTAAATTAGAAAATAAAGAAAACACCTTAAAGATCCAAACCTAAGCAGTATAGCCCAATCATTTAAAGGTGAAAAATAACGTTTAGGTCACTCAAGCAATTAAAATATTAAAGATCAGTTTTAACCATATAGTTGGACTGCAATCTCCACTTTAAAACAAGCCTAACATAGATCACAAATAAGAAATTAATCTTCTAGTAAATAATGTGTAGTACTTACGGTGTCCAAAATTCCACAACCACGACTTCTCCACGTGACCACACGTATTACTCAAAAGTAACACATAGCACAGCTCCTTGAGAAAGGTTATGGCTACTTAAACAAGTATATACAAGTGCAAAACTCATCCAACTCAACATCCAACACTTTTATTTTAAACCTTCCTCAGTACCACACTTCATACGGGACCCTGAAGCAAAGGGCGGAACCCAAGGAGGCAGTTTGCTGGTTATACCTGTTTTACGGTGTGATCTCGTGTTTCCTTTTCTCGTGTCTGCAAATACTGGGAGCGCAGCACCTTCCAGCTTTAACGTGCCGTGTAAAAAACCGAAAGGACAGTAAGGAACGGGTGACCAGAGCCGAAGCGGCACCGACGAGCC